AATATACATCAGACGCATATTTCTCAATTACAGACTTCCTGGAATGTTCTCTTTGTACACGTTTTGGTAGATATCCATTTGGGGTATCGTGTCGAGTATCCTTGGCTACGTCATAAAGACTTTGTCTCACTTCGTTTAGTTTTTCTTCATCATCTTTGTATATGTCCAAAAGTTCAGTTTCAAAAGAAATTCGATCTAGTTGTCCAAGGCGTCTGTGTATTTCATTGAAAATGTCATTGTCTATATCATCCACACTTTGTGTAGCGTATCGAAGGTCACCTTCCTCGCTGACAGAGCTACTCAATGCTTCACTGACTCTGCTTGGGCTGCCCATTGTTTGTTGATTAATCGGACGCTCAGTCAATCAGCACTGGTCCACTTGTGTAGATTCTCCTTCACATTTCTACACATTTTGGACACTTGATTTTAAGCAAAACCCAAAATCATCTTCATGATTCAGTAACATGAATCCATTGTAGGTATCATCACAATCACCTTACATGACCTTTGCGTCACAATATCTGATAATGATACAGAAATAAGATGATTTTGGTGGAGAAGACTTTTCAGCGACTTGCTGTTCTGACGCATGCGCACACTCCATGTATATGTGTCATGTATGTGTGTCTTCTGTGTGTTACGTATGCGTGTCACGTATGTGTGGTATGTATGCGTGTCATGTATGCGTGTCATGTGTGTGTGTGTCATATACACGTGTCATGTATGCGTGTCATGTATGCGTGTCATGTATGTGTGTTATGTATTTGTGTCATGTATGTGTGTCATGTATGTGTGTCATGTATGTGTGTCATGTTTAGGTATTATGCGTGTGTGTCTTATGTGAGTGGTATGTACGCGGGTCATGTATGTGCTATGTGCGTGCCATGTATGTACGTCATGTATGTGAGTCATGTTTGTGTGTCATTTATGTGTGTTATGTATGTGTATCACGTATGTTTGTTATGTATGTGTGCCATATATATGTGTTATGAATGTGTGTTATGTTTGTGTGTCTTATGTGTGTTACGTATGCGTGTCACGTATGTGTTGTATGTATGCGTGTCATGAATGCGTGTCATGTGTGTGTGTCATGTACACGTGGCATGTGTGTGTGTCATGTACACGTGTCATGTATGTGTGTGATGTATTCGTGTCATGTATGTGTGTCATGTATGCGTGTCATGTATGTGTGTGATGTATGCGTGTCATATATGTGTGTCATGTCCACGTATCATGTATGTGTGTCATGTACACATGATATGTATGTGTGTTATGTATGCGTGACATGTATGTGTGTTATGTTTGTGTCGTGTATGTGTGGTTGCTTGGTTGGTTGGTTAGTTAATTGTTTAACGCCGCACTCAGCAATATCTAGCTATATAACGGATGTCTGTAAATAATCGAGTCTGGACCAGACAATCCAGTGATTGTCATAAGCATAAGCATCGATCCACACAGTTTGGATCGATTACATGTATGCGTGTCATGTATGCGTGTCATGTATGCGTGTCATGTATGCGTGTCATGTATGCGTGTCATGTATGCGTGTCATGTATGGGTGTCATGTATGCGTGTCATGTATGCGTGTCATGTATGGGTGTCATGTATGGGTGTCATGTATGGGTGTCATGTATGCGTGTCATGTATGCGTGTCATGTATGGGTGTCATGTATGCGTGTCATGTATGGGTGTCATGTATGCGTGTCATGTATGCGTGTCATGTATGGGTGTCATGTATGGGTGTCATGTATGGGTGTCATGTATGCGTGTCATGTATGCGTGTCATGTATGCGTGTCATGTATGGGTGTCATGTATGGGTGTCATGTATGCGTGTCATGTATGCGTGTCATGTATGGGTGTCATGTATGCGTGTCATGTATGCGTGTCATGTATGCGTGTCATGTATGCGTGTCATGTATGCGTGTCGTATGCGTGTCATGTATGGGTGTCATGTATGCGTGTCATGTATGCGTGTCATGTATGCGTGTCATGTATGCGTGTCATGTATGCGTGTCATGTATGGGTGTCATGTATGCGTGTCATGTATGGGTGTCATGTATGCGTGTCATGTATGCGTGTCATGTATGCGTGTCATGTATGGGTGTCATGTATGCGTGTCATGTGTGTGTGTCATATACACGTGTCATGTATGAGTGTCATGTATGGGTGTCATGTATGCGTGTCATGTGTGTGTGTCATATACACGTGTCATGTATGCGTGTCATGTATGGGTGTCCTGTATGCGTGTCATGTATGCGTGTCATGTATGGGTGTCATGTATGCGTGTCATGTATGTGTGTCATGTATGTGTGTCATGTTTAGGTATCAAGCGTATGTATCTTATGTGTGTGGTATGTATGCGGGTCATGTATGTACGTCATGTATGTGAGTCATGTATGTGTGTCATTTATGTGTGTTATGTATGTGTATCATGTATGTGTGTTAGGTATGTGTGCCATATATATGTGTTATGTATGCGTGTCATGTATGTTTGTCATGTATGTTTGTTCTGTATGTTTGTAATGTATGTGTGATATGTATGTGTGTCATGTACGCGTGTCATGTATGTGTGTCATGTACGCTTGTCATGTATGTGTGTCATGTACGCGTGTCATGTGTGTGTCTTATGTATGTATGTCATGTATGTGTGTCATGTATATCTGTTTATATGTGTGTGATGTATGTTTGTCATGTATGTTTGTAATGTATGTGTGTTATGTGTGTGTGTCATGTATGAGTGTCATGTATTAGTCCTATGTATGTGTGTTATGTATGAGTGTGATGTTTGTGTGCCATAGATGTGCGTCATGTATGTGTGCCATGTGTGTGCGTCATGCATGTGCGTCATGTATGAGTGTCATGTATTGCATCATGTATGTGTGCCATGTATGTGTGTTATGTATATGTATGTCACGTATGTGTGTCATGAACTTGTCACAGTGAGATAATATGTTAATTTGTTTGCAATCTGTGTTCATTATTACGCAAATCAATACATCAGCAAATGAAAAAGATAACAATACCAGTGCATTACACAATTGGGCCAATGCTGGCTGAGCGTTGCCAGTATCGCCAGTGCCGGCATCGCTCTCGCAGCACTGGCCCATCAGCGGGCCAACGTGGGCCAGCCAATGCCAGATAACAACTCAGCTGGGTTCCGCTCACACCCTCGCAAGGCGACAGTAGCCCCATACAGTGCCACGCTCTTATCAGTAATCTGCCCTGAACACTCAAAGTTGATATTAAATACCATCTTTTATAGGAAGAAAAAAAATGATATATATATAAATTGTTTGGTCATGAGTACTAAAATAAGGAATATATGCCTCTGGTAATTATTTAGAGAAATCAAATAATTATAATAAGGAATAAAAACTGTTTATGTATCACTTTACCGCGGATCAAGCTAACGGTTACATTCCATTCTACAAGTGGGTCATTCTTCCTGTTGATATCTTTGTCTCTAAATTTCCCCATTTCAACAACAGTAAGTATGATTTTCATCAATCTACAGAATCCTCCTAACAGATAACCACTTTGGCGTAAAATAAGTATAATATCCTTAATGTTCTTGAGGAAGAAAGAGCTATATTAATGAGATAATTAATTTCATGAAATCTGATATACTGGCGCCATAGTAAAAAAGTGTGATCTGTACATTGGTCTACTTTTGTTCGTGTTAACATCTGTGAATTCAGTGTAAATGTAATTGTTTCTCATGTAATAGTTTCATATGTCTGTGCCTCAAGATATGATTTGAACTCAATTAAATAGCTGGGCTATACTGCGAACCAATGTTATTTTCATGAAAACAAATATATTACCGATAACCAGTATTAATTTGAGCATTTTTAGTTTGTTTTTCTGATTTCTTTCAAAGTTCTGCAAAGTTTAAAGTGATAATTAAGAAACAAATATATAGACCAAATTATTCCCTAATTACAACACATGCACTGACGCATTTACAGCAGATTAATTTAAAATCAAACCAGACTGTAGTACATTCCCACGAAACAATAGCTAGTTTCTCATAACTATGAATGATTCGTACTGGACAAAGCGTCGTAAGGTAAGGGACAGGGTAGCCGAACATATACAAGCCATAACATCAGCACCACACAATGAGGATTATCAGGAGGATTATCAGGGAGATACAGAACAAGAAGTTACCAGTGATACGTTTGCCTACGCAGTAGATGACTCGGATCAATTTGATGATTCCTTGAACAGATATGTTACCAATACAGATGACTTAGAAACGACATATAATGACATGCCATTGATGACTGATCATAGTTTCCAACAAGCTCATGCAAGTATACACCCTGAAGGTATTATTACAGACAGTAGTGAAAACGAGAGCACTGAATCCGACTGTGAAAGCTCAAAGGATAACAATATGCGGAGTAAACTTGGTGAATGGGCTGTATCATATCAGATAACTCAGAAATCCCTGGCAGCATTATTGGAGATACTTCGCACTGATTATCCAACTCTACCAAAGGACCCAAGATCATTACTACATACTCCAAAACATTATGATGTAAAAGACATATCCGGGGGCAAATATTTTCACTTTGGGATCGCAAATGGCATTTCACATCAACTTTCTTGTAGTTGTTTGTCAGATGTACATGCATCATCTTCAGTCACATTTCAAGTAAATATTGATGGACTACCTGTTTTTAAAAGTACTTCCATGCAATTCTGGCCAATACTTGGAAGAATAGTTAGCCCTGATGTTGGAGAGCCCTTCATCATTGGTCTTTTCTATGGCTGTTCCAAACCAGCTAAACTTGATGAATATCTTGAAGATTTTGTGGAAGAAATGAAATTACTGGAGCGCGATGGGTTTGATTATTTAGGGACAACTATGGAAGTTGTGTTGTCGTGTGTCATTTGTGATACACCAGCTCGGGCCTTTGTGAAGGCAGTTAAAGGACACAGTGGTTATTATGGATGTGACAAATGTACGCAAAGCGGGATCTATATAAAAAAAATGACATTTCCTGAAATAAATGCGGCTTTAAGAACAGATATCAAGTTTGATGAAATGAGGGATGAAGAACACCATGCACATGGCAGGTCACCATTCAGTCGATTATCTGTTGGAATGGTTTCACAATTTCCAATCGATTACATGCATTTAGTGTGCCTTGGTGTCATGAAGAAGTTACTCATGTTATGGATGAAAGGCCCGGTATCTCTTGGTTGCAGGATAGGATCAACTGCAGTAAACATGCTGTCTGAGAGACTAATTGAATATAGCAGCTACATTCCGCGGGAATTTTGTAGAAAGGGGAGATCATTACATGAAATTGATAGGTGGAAGGCAACAGAATATAGATTGTTTTGTTTATACACTGGTCCTGTAGCGTTAAGTGAAATTTTATCTCCTCATGTTTACGCGAATTTCTTACTTCTCTTTGTTGGAATTACATGTTTGGCAAGTCCTCAGCTCGTAAACAATTTCTGTAGTTACGCGAACGAAATTCTTTGTATTTTTGTGCAAAATTTTGCCCAGATATATGGGAACGACATGCTCGTATACAATGTACACGGGTTAGTACATTTGTCTGAAGACGTCAAGAAATTTGGTCCATTAGATAATTACTCAGCTTTTGTATTTGAAAACTACTTGGGAAAGTTGAAAAGATTGCTACGTACACCAAACCGCCCCCTTCAACAAGTAATAAGGAGAATATATGAGCGGCAGTTTATTAAGCGGAATAATGACTCTATCATCAAAACAAGAGAACCTAAATATGAACACACACATGGGCCACTGCTTCGTGATTTAGATTCTGTTAAACAATATAAGGAGCTACAAATGGATGATTTTCTGATATCATGTTCCAGAGGAAATAACTGTGTAAAATTGGACAATGATGTGGTAATCATCAAGAATATTTTGTTACATTCCAATCAGGACATTAGTATAATTTATGAGAAATTTATGGACAAGAGTGATTTTTTTACATATCCTATTTCTTCATCTATCATTGGAATCCACAAAGTTTCACGATTAACGAGACACATTTTTGTCGGAAAATTGACACTCATCAAATGCAAATATGTTCTTTTACCAAAACATGATTCATTCATAGCAATACCCGTTATGCACAGTGAGAAATAAATTACAGAGTTGACATGAAGAAACAACTTGAGGAATAGTTATATGTAACTATCTGAGACTGTACCTGTTTACACTTTGTATATTGGTAGATTTATATGACAAATGTTATCACAGGAAAATGCACTGCATTGTGAAGTTCTTGAAAAGTGATGAAATCGGCCTTATTCCTGATACGTGGTTGGAAGGGGATAGGTTCTGCTACTGGCCGAAATACAAGAACTCCAATCAAATGGACAGAGCCGTAAAATCTTCAATCGAACCAGATAAGGATACCTGGAAGATTTATGAAATATCCATCATGTACAAGAATGGTAAGTTACTTTATATATATTACTAGGAAAATAGAAGCTAAGTTTTTCATTGCCATCATAACTGATATACTAGTAGGTAACAAAGGCAACATTTTTTTACATGGTGTATTTGGTGTCAGTACAGAATATCAAGCAATTCCAAAATAGATCACATGAGTTTAAAGTTTTCTTCAGTAATCATGAACCTATACAGTTTGTATAATAATCTATTATACATGATGACAATTACATTTTATCTGACGACCAAACCTGTCAATATATTATATTTTAGCATCATATGACAAGGCTAGGAGGAAGTTGCCACTAGCTGAAGAGACATCCAACCTGGATACAGAGATGGAGGAAGAGGGACAGATAGATACAAGGAAAAGAAGGTATTATAATGTCAGATACATATTTATCTTCTTTGACAGTAATTTTACAGAGATAAAATAAAACTGAATATGCCGTAAATAATTCTCTGTTTCTGAAATGTATGTCTTTGTGATTGGCTTTATCATAATGTTTTACATGATTGAATGTACATGTTTTGTCCATTCAGCAGTTTGTGCCAAAGCTTCTTATAGAAAAATGGTTTCAATTTGATAATTGCTTGTGTAGGCCACCTACTAAATACCTGTCAACTGACAGTGAGGACGAAGAGGAAAGGCAACCCCATACCCACACCAAAAAGACCAAAATTATGGACAGGAGTGGCATGGTTAGAAGGCTGCCTACACCACCTCCTGTTCCGACTGAGGTTGATAACGAACCCCTGGTTCTGCGACGATCTCCAAGGAAATCGGCGCATCAAAAGGAGCATGCATATGTTACTTCAAACTCAAGCCTAACAACGCCCACAACAGACAGAAGTTTGTCATCTCCTTGGCCATCAGCAACCAGGGCGAGACTGGTGACACCTTCAACCTCTTCACACAGCCCAATGCCAGATTTCCCTAGTACACCAGCCCGACCGCAAACTAGTTTTCCATCAAGAGCAACAGGTTCATTGACATCTGTTGGTACCAGCAGAGGTAAGAAATTTATCAATGGTATTCTCTGCAAAAGTCAATGACGGTATATGACAAGAATGAATGAGTGAGTGAGTGAGTGAGTGAGTGAGTAGTGTATAACGCCACTTTTAACAATATTCCAATTATATCACGGCGTGTCAGCTTAATGTGGGAGGAAAGCCCGAAGTGATGCAGGTCTCAGACGTCTACCACTTCGGTGAAACCCACGAGCACGGGTATAATGCCGACAAACCAAGAAACATAAAGGGAACGAATCAGACCCCACACGCATAGATTTCTGGCGTGCCCAAGGGACGCAACTCTGCACTGCGAATTGTGGCGCCTGCAGGCGATTTGGCCACCCCTGCCCCCGTATATGGAAAGAAGTAACTGACATGTATGATGCTAAAAAACAATTCCATTTTAGTTGGGCTGATCACTAACCTCAAATGAACTAAAGCATGTTAATGTTGCAGTATTGTGGAAATATAATGGAACAATATATCCGGAATAATTTTGAGATATAATTTATTTTGCTATTTTTCTTTTTATAACAGAGGTTGTCCAAATAATCAGAGCCATCGAAACCAACACAGCGACCACGATGGAAAACAACAGACTGCTTAACCAGTTGTTGTTATTGATGTCAGCTCCAGCACAATCAACATCTGAGCAACCGTCCTTAGACCTGCCTCTTGACAATATTCAAGACCTGGAGGAGGCAAACACTTCTTTGTCGGATGCTACTCTATTCAGGAGTGTGGTAAATATTCCAGCCCATTGTTTTAAATTGCGAAACGTCATTTGTAATAATACGATTTCAATGGTCTTAATTTTATATATTACATCCTACAACAAAGGCACGATTAAAAATACGTGTTCATTTCTGTATTACGGCAGCTGAAGTTTTTAGCTAATTTCCGTATTGTCATAATTTATATAAAATAGAATAAAACATAATTACTTTCAACGTTTCTACAAGCGTGTTTTTTAAAGGAAACGCTAACCATCCCAACCCAGTTAGGCTTTCATACAATATTAATTTGACTTCATTCGTAATCCGTAACTATACTTCATTCAAATATAAATGTTCGTTCGTTCATGTTATGTTATTTTAAGAAAACAAACTATAAAAGCTGTCTCCATAATACGAATATGTAATTGTAACTATACCATGCATGTTTTACATATAATTTAGGTCTCACAACTTGGTGTCATCGGGGGCATGAGCGCTGCAGACACGGTGAGACGCATCCTGTCGGCGGCCATAACAAACAAGCTGGCAAAACAAATAAATTGGAAAGGGACATCCGGGAAGAGGGCCTTTAAAGATATGCCACTAAAGGATGTTATCATTAGTAAGTACAGCTTCAATCTTAATTCGCCTCAACATATTCCTTGATAATTGCTAAGACATGAAACTGTCTTGAAAACAACTTGAAACAACGTCACACTCATTTTTAGTCTTTCAGTGTAAAACGTCGCAATCCTTGTACATTTACCAGCATAAACATATAAATGTGCCTAAAACTGTTTGTGTGAAGTAATTAACACATTTATGTCACGAATCAGTGTTATAGATTTCAGTAGCTTGTATCATGTCAACTATGTTGCAGAAGCCACCCGAAAGAACCCACTGGTCCAGAAAACAAATAATGAGATAGAAGATCATATAAAATTGTGGTTTCGCTATGCCCCTGACAGGGACGGAGGAAGAAAGGAGAGGATCCTTAAGGCCTTACAAAAGAAGGCAGCAGCTACCGCAGCTGCACCAGCTACTCCCAATGGAGAGTAGTTTGCTGAACCAGACTAAGAACACATATTACTTTTATACGTGTGTTCAAATTCACATCATTAATGTTCTGGGAGGCATATTTATTCAAATATTAGCTATTTACATGTAAATAAACAAGGAGATGGATCACCTGGTTGTTTGTTACATTTTTCCGACTATGCAGGACTTGATGAATTGGATTTGCATTATACAGTTTTGTGGTAGACTGACCAAGAATTTCTTTATTTTAAACACTGTGGTGACACTGCTAATGAGTTTCTTTGAAAATCATCGTTAAGTCTTCACTGTCGCTTGCATAACCTTGAACTACTTACCATAGTCTGAAATTACAGGAAAGGTAATTTTAAACTTGCCAACATTGGACCAACATTGGACCAACATTGGACCAACATTGGACCAACAGTGGGCCAACATTGGGCCAATGATGGCTCACAAATGACAACCAATGTTGGCCCAATGCTGCCCCATCGTTGATAAACAGCATTGGCCCATTGCCGGCAAACGACATTGGCCCAATGTTCAGTGCGGCATTGGCCCACTGTTGGCCCAATTGTGTAATGCTGCCTGGGTATGTATGTGTGTTATGTATGAGTGTGATGTTTGTGTGCCATAGATGTGCGTCATGTATGTGTGCCATGTGTGTGCGTCATGCATGTGCGTCATGTATGAGTGTCATGTATTGCATCATGTATGTGTGCCATGTATGTGTGTTATGTATATGTATGTCACGTATGTGTGTCATGAACTTGTCACAGTGAGATAATATGTTAATTTGTTTGCAATCTGTGTTCATTATTACGCAAATCAATACATCAGCAAATGAAAAAGATAACAATACCAGTACATAAGCTAGAAGCTACCATCTGGCCTGTTGTCAATGTTTCTCATGGTATGTCATGGTATGTACCTACAACGATCTTTGATTGTGTCTGATACGGTGGAAGTTGTGAAAGAATACATATAAACTGACGTCCAAAGGAAACTTTACCAGAGTTCGAAATCACTCTTGCTAAAAAACAACAAAACATACATGCATGAAGTAAAGTGTATTGAGAAGATCAATATATCAACATAATCAACACTGAAAATGACAATAATACCGCGACCGAGAATAACGTCAGAGTCCCCCAAAATTAGGTGTGGTACAAAACTCGAGCTTTCAGAATCATGGACAATAGGCAGAGTACATAAACAATCGCTCACGTTCATTAACAAGTCATTAGTAGCGTGTGTGACCACCAAATGCCTCAATACACGCAAAAACTCTTCGACGCACAGAAAAAGACAGTCGTCTGATGAGGTCACGTGGGATTTGACGCCATTCTTCTTGGAGGGCCAAGATCAGTTCTTGCCGGTTGGCTGGAGAGTGTGGTCGTTGTCGAACACGACGATCCATCAAGTCCCAGAGGTGTTCCATGGGGGACATGTCGGGTGAGCGTGCAGGCCACGGCAGGACGTTGACGTTGTTGGCTGCGAGGAAGTTAGTGACAATTCTGGCTGTATGGGGTCTAGCGTTGTCATGCTGATAAATGACACCACGTGGCTGCTGTTGGAGAAATGGTAGGACAACTGGACGAAGAATGTTGTCCATGTAACGCTGAGCTGTCAAGTTTCCGTCAACGATGACCAGCGGTGTCCTCTCCTGCCCACAGATCCCTCCCCACACCATGACATTCCCTCCACCATATGGTACGACCTCCTGCACGCAACACGCCGCCGTTCGTTCACCCCTTCGGCGGTAAACACGTTGTCTTCCATCAGCCCTAAACATACAGAATCGACTTTCGTCAGTGAAGACAACCCTCTGCCAGTCACGTCGTTGCCAACGTCGTACAGTCCGGGCCCATCTCAATCGCAGACGAAGATGTTGCGCTGTCAATAGCTGTCCTCTGTATGGTCTAAAAGCC